AATAAAAGCAGTGGCCCAATCACAAGTCACATACACTATGTCTGTGTTTATGGTGCCAGATGGGACCCTAGATGAGATTAGAAGAGTAGTATCGAGTTTCTGGTGGGGACAGCGCAAAGAAGAGAAAACAATACCCTGGAGAAGTTGGAAGAAACTGTGCAAGCCAAAGGAAGAGGGTGGCATAGGTTTTAAAGACCTAAAGATTTTCAACCTGGCTATGTTAGGAAAACAGCTCTGGAACTTAATGACTAAGCCAGAATCATTAGCAGCAAGGGTTCTCAAGGCCAAATACTACCCTAACGGGGAAGTAATGCAAGCTCAACTGGGGAATAACCCTAGCTATACTTGGCGGAGTTTGCTCACAGCCCAGGAAATGGTCCGGGAAGGCTTGAGATGGAGGGTGGGAAATGGTGAGAAGGTGGAGATATGGAGGGACAAATGGATTCCAGAGGCTCAGGAGGATAAATTCAAGGTGACATCACCCCCACAGGATGAAGTTACTATGGTCTCAGAACTTATGGATATCGAAACAAGGACCTGGAAACGAAACCTCCTTCAACACATGTTCAACCTTGTGGATAGAGCACGAATTGAAAGCATCCATATTCCTCGACAACCTTCTAATGATGTACAGGTCTGGAGTTATGAGAAAAATGGCAGATATTCAATGAAATCGGCCTACAAGTTCTGGTACAAACACAATCAACAGAACAGGGAGAATGTGGCGGAGAGCATAGATGGAGATGAAGAGGAAGAGCTTCCTGAGGAGATAGAATTTATGATTGGAAAAGACTGTGGAAGCTGAAGATACCCGCGGAAGTTAAAATCTTCCTATGGAGAATTATACACAACATTTTACCTACTGGCAAGAACATAGCAAAAAAGAAGGAAGATGGTGCAACTGAGTGTCCTTTCTGCAATTTGGAAGAATCTCAGGAGCACATCTTCAGGAAGTGCCAATGGGCTAGCAGGGTATGGAGACCTACTGATTTCAAGTGTTTCTTCGAAATGGAGGAAAATCTATCATGCGGGTCATGGTGGTGTGAAGTCATGGACAAAGGAAATGATGAGTTGGTGGAACAAATGGGGATGATCCTCTGGTATCTATGGAACGAGCGCAACAATCAAATGTTTAACAACAGCAAGATGGAAGAGTGGGAAATCGTGGGGAAAGCCCTAAGCCACTGGGAGTAGTTCAAATCCTATCATGAAAATGAAGCTAAAGAAAAGCCAGAGGAAGCAGTTACCTGGACGAGACCATCGGCGAGCTGGATAAAGGTGAATGTCGATGCGGCGAATTTCGCTGGTAGAGGGAGTGGATATGGAGCGGTGGCGCGGGATGAGGGGGGAGTCTTCCTCGGAGCGTCAATCAGCCGGGAGAGGATTCAATGGCCGGCAGAATTAGCGGAGCTCCGCGCGATGAGGATGGGTCTGAGATTGATGGAGAAATTGGGGCGATATCAGGCAATTATCGAATCGGACTATCAAACTGCTGTCTTCAAACTGATAGGGGAGGAAATGACGCAGATGGAAGCTGGTGCGATGGTGGCGGAACTGAAGGAGGAAGCAGATAGAATTGGCCGGGTCAGGTGGCAATTTGCCAAACGGGCCTGCAATAGATCAGCCCATAATTTAGCCCATATGAATTGTAATTGGGAGGTTCAGGAAGACTGAATTGGTAGGCCACCCATGTTTCTCCTGATGATCTGGATTTGGATGCATTAGCCCATTAATAAAAGGCACATATATTATTTTTTTTAAAAACCAACGAAGCGACCACAAAAGTCACCTGGTCTTCGAGAGACATCCGAGGAAAAAATGAATCTCTTTGTTATGGGCATTTAAATAATAAAAGTAATAATTTAATTATGGGTTGTTAGTGGTAGGATTGTGGCGTGAGTTTGAGGGCAATTAGTTGGGTTAGTGTAGGGGTGGGCAACGGAGAACGAGTATTTGGATATACCTGAATCCGTCTCGTTTTTTTGAGGATTACGGGTATCCAAATACCTGTTATATTCATTGCGGGATGGGACTTGGGATTATGAATTTCAATATCGGGTACCCGCGGGTTACCCGCTAATACCCGTTTGGATAGTATGGGTACACGTATTACCCATTAAGATTTATTCAATTAGCTCAAATATGATTCTGAAAGACTGAACATACATACTGTATGACTAGATAGAATCAATGTGATTTCTAACTTAACTGCTCATCCATTCTCATCCATTGGTTGAATGATGATTTGGTGGGATTTTTTTTTATTATGGGGACAGTGGGTTATTATGGGGACAGCACCTTATGGGCAGTGGATTTTTATATTATGCTCATCCATTTAAGGTCTTATGATAATTGCAGTGGATAATTGCATTATTTTTTATGCAGCGTGCGTGGGGGGAAGGAGGGTAAATCAAAACTAGAATAGTCGAGAGTCGATTTTTCGAGGAAAACCACTTTTGTTCTTTTATTCAATATAAAAAATTGCCGAACAAAAGACTAAGAGAGTCGATATATATAGCTAAGACAACGAAAACCTAATCCGACTAAAACTAGGAAAGAGAATTACTGCCAAGGTCTTTAAACAAACAAAATAATCAAAATGCTCATGAAGCCCACCACTAAGGCCGCACGTCGCAGGGTTCCGCATCAATTTTGTTGATCAAACTCAGTTACAATAGCTTTATTTTGTTGTTTTGTTGTTCAAACTTCATTTTCAAGGACAATGAGCTTATGCCTTTTGGGGATAATATGTCATTTTGTTTCAAGTGTAATTTTATTATTTTGTTCCAAGTGTAACTTTGTAATTGACTAATTGTTTCCATGTTAAACGGGTATAAACATGCAGTTTGGGTACCCGTTACCCGTACGGGTTTGGGATATGGGATGAACTTTGGTCTCCAAATGGGATTGGGTACCCGTTTCAAACGGGACGGGTACCCAATCCCGTCCCATTTCCCACCCCTAGGTTAGCGGTTAACTATTATTTAGGTGTTTTTCGTTGGTAATTACTTATTACTATCTATCGTCCTATTTGAATTTACCGCTCTAAAACATTCAAATTTACTTAAATGTCCTCGTTTTAATAATCCAGCCACACGCTGAGCGCCCTTCGTTGTTTATGTGAATTTGACGTGGTTCGCCCGGATGCTTCCGCTAATATGTTTTTATCTCCTGTAGTAGTTTCTCGAGGACTTCCTCCCTTGAGATCCCATTCAATGGTCTTTCAGCAGGCTTTTCGCATGCGACCGTGGGGTCAACGGTGACGATGAATGATGGAGCGATTGGCTCATCTATAACGACTTTGACTAGAGCAACTATGGGTCGTGGCGGCTCCTGGTACCCCGTCATGATTCCGTTGTTACCCTTTGTTACCATCGCCTCCAACTCGTTGTTTCTCGTTGGTAACATTGTCAGCTTATCTATGGTGCCAATTACATCATTGATTCCCTCTGCCCCTTCCGTGTCAGTAGCAGCTCCACAATAATTCTGATAATTATTAGCTTCCGCGTAATTGACCTCTCGAAATCGGCTCTGGTTAACAGCAACGAATGGATGTCGAACCTCGACTGACATCATTGTCGCTTCCCAATTTACGTTACTGCTACTCCTATCTACGAACTACTAAACGAATAACAAATACGCAAAAATAAACTGTTTTCCATTGATCAACCATAATACAAACTAATGCTGAAGTACATATTTATAGACTCATAAACCTTATACTCGGCCACGTTACTTGGCCAATACGCTACACTTTTCTTTATCCTACTTTGACAAACAATGACCCACGACTGCAACACTTCCTACCTAAACAATGATAATAATAACTAAACTACTAAATAAGCCCAACTGACACTAAGTTATACAATTAACCAACGTAGTGTACTATGAATTTAGCTTGAATTATTGTACCCTAACATTTCTCTGAAACTTTGCCAGGTGTTTGAAACCCACCAGTCGATCACTCCAATTCTGCTCATCTCCCAAAAAGAAAATATAAGAGACAGCAGAGGGGAAATTGAGAGAAAGAGAGTGGAAATAGAAAAATGAGTGGAGTGAAAGTAGGAGAGGAGGATGCAAATCTCTTAACTTCAATCTAAGGGATAAGCAGAGGAGCCCAAGGCAACCGGAGTTCCAACTAGAAAGCAAAACACAACTAAACCACATGAATCTTGTCTCGAACAACCAGCCCCTACGCTACACCCACCCACACCTAAGTCCAATCCAAGTTGAAACAGTACCAATGAGTCTAGATGGACAATAAAAACTAGTTTCCATTGTCCGCGCTCCGCGCTGGGATGTTAGGTAATTGTATGGGATTATGTTGTAATTAACTACTGTTATATAATAATATAAAAGCCTTCACCAAAAAAAATAATAATATAAAAGCTTCTATTTGTACACATTTATTCGATGATTAAACTATAGAATGGTCATGATAATGTTTGGTTATGGTAACTTGGTAAGTATGGAGATCTTTGGCTGGATGCATTTGCGGCTTCCTTTGTTTTGGAAAAGGGCTAATCTAATGGGTAGAGCAATTAATTGGGCCGGCGTTTGCTCGGGCCCCTTCCAGCGGCAGGCAGAATTAAATGGTGAACTTTTGTCATTCATTAATTTTTTTTATAACTTGCCATTCATTAAAATAAACGACCAAGAGCATGTCGTTTTATGAACAAACACCTTTATTAACCCATTTCTCTATTTTGGTGGATCAATCCTTGCACCTTCCTAATTCTGAAGAAGAATATGAAAAGAACAGCAAGAACAAAAACCCAGAAAATGAAAAGGGGCACATTTTCATTTGATAAATTGTGGCTGTTGGTTGAAGGAAATGCGGCTCACCTCGTGAGCATGGCAGAGGCCTGTTTCAATGCAAAATACTTGGCTATATTAGAATTCAACAAATGTGAAAAATAGTAGTAGGAATTGATGGCATTTGTTTGGTAAATTCAAAATAGCATGAAGATGACTTATTTTGTCTAAATCATAACCTGTACCTATAGATTATTGTTAGGCTGCTCCTTATCTATGCTGACATCTTCAAGTGCTTCTGTGTACACAATATTCCTTGTGTAGTCATTTGGGACATCATCAGTATCGGTGATCAGGATACGTAATCCATCTGCTGATTTAACTCTTGAAACCGCGACATATAATTGGCCATGACTAAATACATGGTCTGGCAGGTATACCCCAACCTTTTCAAGTGTCTGGCCCTCGCTTTTGTTTATGGTCATTCCGTAACAAAGGCGAACAGGAAACTGCCTTCTCTTGAGGATGAACGGCCATTTCTTATCCTCGATATTGAGAACTATTCTTGGTATGACAACCAATTTTGTGTCATATGTTCCACCCATAATTGTTCCTTTGATGATATCTTCTCCTAAGAATGTGATCATGATTCTTGTTCCATTGCACAGACCATTTGGAGGGCTCAAATTCCTTAGTAGCATAACTAGAGCGTGAATTTTAAGACTGATTTCATGATCAGGGACGCCATTGAATGCAAGTGTATTGAGAAATTCTGTTGGGTAGGTCTCAGTGAATGATTCTGGAACATCTCCATCAACTTGCATAGAATCTGAACTGAAATATGAGCGACTGATTCCTGCCAGCTGATCAAGCATAAACTCATTGATCTCATTGACTTTTGCATTTGTTGGCGTCACTACTGCCCTATTTGTGAGATACTTTGTGTTTCTGTAATGTGTTCCAAATGAGTCATATATATCAGCTGAAATAGACTTAACTGGTTCCTGTGTAGGTGCTATAAAAAAACATGGGAGGTATTTGAATCCAGTCTGAAGGAGTGTTTGGTTTGAACGATCTTGTTGGTAGATTCCCATTTCCAAGAGCAAGAACCCACTGTCTAAATGTGTGACCATTGCTCACAATTGCTCTATTTACAGCTGATTCATTTAACCTCATGTTCCTTGACAATTTAAGCATGGTAAAAGATCTCCACATAGGTGACCTTGTGAAGGATCCATCAACTGTCTGTTCGCGGCCAGAATCTGTAATCACAGGGAGTGGTTGTCTAAAGTCTCCACCAAAGAGAACTGTTTTACCGCCGAATAACTTATGACCTGGTCCTCCCATCGGAACACCCATTAAATCACAGAACGTCCTGCTAATGGCCTCAAATACATGTCGATGTGTCATTGGCGCTTCATCCCAAACAATTAACGATGCTTGCTGAATTAGCTCAGCCAAGTGTGTTCCTTTCTTAACTGAGCAAGTCGATGTACCATCAACATGTAGAGGTATCTTGAACCTCGAATGTGTTGTTGTATCATTCGGTAAAAGAGTTGCTGCAATTCCCGATGATGCCACAACTATTGCAATCTTTGTTTGACTCGTTAACTTTGCAATAATTGCGTTATATAAAAACGTCTTACTTGTGCCTCCATGTCCATATAAGAAGAATGACTTTCCCATATTATTGTTAACTGATAGTATAATTGTTGTGAGAGCTTCGAGCTGCTCAAAATTGAGTGATTGAATACTGTCAGACATGTCCCCTTGCTGATCTGCATTGAAATGTAGATGTTCATTAATCAGGGGGTTAGACCCATCATCTGGTGGTAAGTCTGTTGGGTTTGGGAGGTTAAACTGATTGAGAGATGCAGAATAGGAACCAAGCAAGGTCTGCAGCTTGTTTAGGACCTAATTACGCCTTCTTTCCTCAGAAGGTTCAAATGTTGTTGAATGAAGCTGTTTACGCAGAGAATACAAATGATCCTCGCTCATTAATTCCCAAGATGATTCAAATAAGGCAAACGGGTTTGGTATTTCACAAAACATTAACATTGATACAAAAGTACTCCTTATTAAACTTGGCATGCTAGAGGTTGATATCTCTTGTAGTACTCTAATCCATTCGGAAGAATCAGAGAGAAGACCCAATTTCTCACAAGCCTTCTCATAAGTTGGACAGATTTCTCCACGGACTGTTCTTAAATCCAAGTAACTCATAGCACCACGTACATTCGTAAGTATCAGTCTTATGAAGAAGACATCATTGCTGCCCGAGGGTACATAAGATATTCTTCCAATAGCAAATCCTCTCTTTCTCGGAGTCCATTCATTGAAGTCTTCATTCCATGTATATGCATTTGGAATTTGTGCATATGTGAACTTCCGTGCCTCACAATCCAATCGATTAAGCAAGAACCATGAAGTGAGATGTGTTTTTCCAGCCTTTGGATTGCTTAGAACATTTTGGACATTGGATTGTTTTTTGTATGGCACTCTGTGTTGTCCGGGTAGATGAATTGGAAGGCGCACCACTGCTGGTTCTCTATGATGAATCGGGTACTCATTAATTCTCCATACAACCTCGTAAGAAGACAATGACCTGCAATCGATAAACTCTTGTATTTCATCTTTATCTTGATGTGCACCAGTTGTTGGAACCTGTGCTGCAGATGCTGATTCTTCTACAACAACCAAGGATCTGTCCGATCCCTTGGTTATGTATTTAAACAAATACTTAACTAACCCCCCTTTGTGACATATTTCAACATTTATATGTGCTTGGGCTCTAACCAATAAGTTCCTATTGTAAGGAACCACATGCCTGTTATCCAAAACAGAATTGCCTTTCTTCACCTGAATTGCTTCCAAATTTGTCGAAAGTAGTTTCTGAATTGAACTCCTTTGGGTAAAATTTCGAACACTTTCCATCTTTCATGCAAGGGCCATTTGGGTTAGCTTCCCCACAAGGTCCGTGAAGCATGAATTTCACAACTGCGTCATATCCCACTGGATCTATTTCAGGATCTAAAATTTCTGCTGAAATCATTGTGTCGATGTCATCAGTTGTTTTAACTTTATCTTCTTCTGCAAGCCATATGAGCATATGTATATGTGGAAGGCCTCTTTTTTGGAACTCCACGGTATACACAACTGCAGCGAAAAGCATAACAACTGATCAGTATATAAGAAGACACTAAATACTAATTAACTTATAGGCATACTGGTTTTCCTTTTGATTATAGTATGGAATTCTAAAACATGTAAATAAGTGGTAACTTACTTGCTATTGTTTTCCCGAAATAAGATTCTCGTTTGATTTGATCGATGAGAATTGAAAGCTTCATATGGAATACTCGGCAAACAACCATTGGTTTAAACTCGCTGTTTGGTCCCACAATGTTATCAAACGCTTCAGTTATCTCCGTCCACAGAGAATTGCATGTAAAAGTGATAAATAAATCTGGATTTCCATAGAACTGACATATTGCCATTGCATCGTGATACAATTGCTGCATGTATCTAGGCCCCCCTGTGTACGAAGAAGGTATAATGATGCGTCTAATCTTGTCACCATCCATGTCTCCTCTAGTAGCTGCATCCTCCAAACCTTGATAAAGTTCATATCTTAATTGTTGTTGATGAGTCCTTAAAAAGGCCAATCGGTTAAGCTCGATCGTTGAAAAAGCATCAACACAGTAATGTTGAAGCGCTTTCCCACCCTTGACCAATGTATGTCCCTCGTTGACTCGGTATTGAAGCCTATACGCATAATACTCTCTTCGAGTGACAAATTTACGTCTCATCGATGGTGGACAACAGGTACTGTTATACGGTATCAATGGGTGGTACTCATCCTCCCCATATGGGAACAACAAAGGGAAATGTAGGGCTTCAAACTTGGGATTAAGGCTTGAGATGAGTTTCAGTCCCTCATTCTGATGGTCTACAATAATGTCTCTGTCATTCCTATCAGCAACAAAGTCACCTGGGATCAAAGCTGCAATATCACTACTCGTCGGGAGATCATATTGTCGATTCCTGCTTTCCATTCCAAAAATCTGAAGACGAACATTTATTGTAGAAGACTGTTGTAGTTCTTGACGAATGCGCCTGAAAGTTTTAACTAACTCATTGGTCTGATCTAGCATCCTCAACAACGACGTGAGCAATTCAGGCAAAAGGACAGACTCGCGTGATGCAAAGTTAGACAATCTATTGTCGATTTCGCTGTCTGGTTCAAATATGTATAATTGAGCGAATTTGGGCCGCTCTCCATCTATTGGAAGCAAGGAACCAATTCTATGATAGTTTTCTCCGCAAATAACCATCGAATATGGCCCCCTACTTGTTAAAGATCGGGGATCCAACTTTGCTCCAAATGATGTGAAGCACAATGCTCCATTGTATGGACGTATATTCTCCCTAAAGTGTTTGGATAATGGCCCGCCATTATGATCTAGTAACTGATCCAGAAGTGGAGGTGGCTGTTTCAGAAGCGGTAAATCAACTCTTCCTTTTTGACAGCACAGACTGTAGACAGGATTTGCAGTCTTACGATTGCGATCCAAGCGTTCTTCGTACCAGAACATAGCACCACAGTGTTGACAAACACACTCTGGCTTCCCCACATTAAGTATATCATTGTGTAGTGGTATCCTTGCCGTTGGGGTTTTTCTAGGGGAATGAATAACACCTCTTGTTGTTGAAGCATGATTACTGGTATTCTGAGAGGAGGATGCAGCAGTGCTTGTATGATATGGATCTGGAAGGCCTTGAACAATGCTATGACCTCCTGAACCATGCATTTCTTGTCCATGAAGAATTAGTGGTAGTTGTCGTGATCTCCTATCCACCCGTACATTTTCTAGCTGAAAGTCAGGAAACGATGACAATGGATCATAAGAGGAATCAGCAATAGTTGAATCCACCTTCCTTTTTCGTTTTAATGATTTGGCAGGTGTTGTTTTTTGTCTTGGAGGCATCCTGCAATATTGGGATGCATAAAAAATAGCTCTAGTTATTTACATTGTAAAACACAAAAGTACGCAGATATGACACAAAAGGACTAAATGGATTTATACGCTAGACTAATAATGAAATGAGCTTGATCATTGAATGCAAGTCTCATGAGAGAAAGAAAATGATGCAACAATTCATTGGTATATGCATTAACAAACTTGGTAACCAAATGATAGGTGTAGAGATCTGGCCAATGAATCGTTTTTGCGAAAGAATTGAAGTTTTGTAGCTACCAGAGATGTCAGGTTTGCTGCAACATGTATATTAGTGGTTTTTATGGTGGATAATTGCAGTATTGGAGTTCCACGGCAGCAAAGAAACCAAGTTGAGGATGATCATTTAATGCAAGTCCCATGAAAGAATGCAAATGATACAACAGTTAATTATTACATGCATTAACTAACATGGTAAACAAACTGTTAGGTGTAGAGAATCTGCCCAATAAACCGTTTTTGCAGAAGAATTAAAGTTTTGCAGCTACTGGTGCTGGTAGGTCTGCTGCAATAGGTATATTAATGGTTTAATGGTGGATGAGTGCAGTATTGGAGTTCCACAACAGCAAGGAAACTAACTTAATGAAGAAGATGGTGTTTGCTAGCTAGGAATAAAAGGAAAAAGCAGATTTGACACCGCATTAATTGCTTGTTGATGTATGGCCACAAAAATGTTATTGGGTAAAGTAATACATTTTTACATCAACTACTGATCACTTCTGCAGCAGTTAAGATATTTATCAAACACGAATAATTTATTTTAATGGCTAGACTACAAATTATATGATTAGTTTGGCCAAACAGTGAGCACGTGCATTTAGATGATAACAATATGATTTTATTATGGGTAAATGGCACATCTGGTCATCGAGATTACTAAATCGTGTCATGTTTAGTTACTCGAAAAATTTAATATCAATTTTGGTCACTCGAATTACTGAAACATGTCACATTTAGTCATTCTCAGTAATTCGAGTGACCAAAATTGATATTAAATTTTTCTAGTGACTAAACATGACACGATTTAGTAATTTTAGTGACCAAATGTGGCATTTACCCATTTTATTATTAATCAAAGTCTGAATTCTTGCTTAAATATGAAAGCATGCATGCCTTTACTATATCCAGCCATCCAGGCATCAAGGTCCCTCCACATCGAGAGGTCCAAAACACAAATAAATAGAAACTGAAAATGTGATCACAAACAATGAATATCTGAAATGCGTCCAAAAACCATATTTACATAGATAATGGCCATTACTTGTTCACGAAGGCATCGTAGTTCACATCACATACATCATGGACGATGTCTAGCTACAGATATAGATACCAAGCACTACATGCTGCATAACATATTTGTTCACAAACAGATCACAACTGGCACTCAGGCCCCTTTACACATCTGCTTCCTAAAAACACTACCTACTGGCCTAACCAAAAGCTTCTCAAGTGCATGAGCAGAGAAGAAACAACATCCCAAAAGCCTCCATCAATCAAAAACACCTTTTATCACAAACCATGACTTGCTGGTTAGGTGCCCATGTACCTGACAGATAACACGATATCTACAGTGAAAAAATAAAAACAACAACCAAGTCAGCATAACTGGACGGTTTGTTGCATGTTTTCAGATTGTTGCAAAAATGTAACTACCCCAAAATGCTATTTTGTGCATGTAGTGATGACCTACAGTTAAGCATGTCATACCCCGGGTTTAATATAGGCGGCGCTTCGCAGAAGGACGGCCACTCCCCTCTTCAGCTGAGTCGGAGTTTCCAATCGAGAACGGACCAGAACCTGGTGCACCAGCATCATTTTTTCCAGCTCAGAAGCATCCAGCTTTTCCACTTTTACCTTAGCTAACGGAGAAACCAACCTATTTTATTGAAAAGCAATCAACAAAATATCCATACAATGTATTCACGCCAACCAAACTTTTTAGTTTAATCAAGGAGAATCTCACATGGATGCTGATGGTGATGAAAAAGGTGGAGTTGATGACGAAAAGGGCAGATTTGGCAACGGTGGTGCACTGATCTTACTCTGAGGAGTTTCAGAGTTGATAAGAACAGAACCTGAGAGATTTGAAGACACCTGTCCAGGAGAGCTCATGAGTTCTAAATTCTTATTCTCCGGCTGCTGGAATGGTGTCACTCGATAGTTCACCATGTCAATGGTCTTGTCAGATATCAGTTGCTTTGGAACGACAACATCAGTTGCGATTAGATTCCCAGGTCCAGAGTTGGGCGGCTCATTAGTTTTTAGGAGGGCAGAGACAATATCCAATGGCACAACAGTTTGCAGAGTTGAATGTTCCTCAAGAACAACATCCACTCCCGAACTTGTGATCCTTTCATTGGCTGAGACTGATTCATGAGATTGGCTGGGGAATAAGCAACAATTCAATTACCAATGTAATACAGATATATCTAACAAACCAATAAGAATGCACAGCACACATGCAATGAGACAAAACATAACCTGAGTGGCTCCCGCATCAACTGACCAATCTGGAAAGCAGGCTTGCAATTCCCAAGCAATAAAGGCCCCGAAACTTTCTCTTTTCCTTTCGAAGAACTGGCAACGAAGAAACAAATTTACAAACGCCAAACCATGAAGCCACCGCACAGTACCAAAGACACATTGGATTGGGAGGAAAAACAACCAAACCTTGATGGGTATGATCCCAAACCCTGGCCAAGTGACAACTTCACTGCTGCAGCTCCAACCAATGCCCCAGATTGGCAGATGTTGGTTTGGGAAGGTTGGGAAGCATGCATAGTGTTTTGAATTAAAAGGGGTGCAGCCGCTTGTATCTGATGATGATGATTTTGCTGAGGAACAACACGTATGACCCTGAACTCTCCCGTCGTGACTCCATTGGCCTCGACCATTGGCAGTTTGGTCTCAAATTTAACATGTTGACCATAAAGAGCATCCAATTCGGGTGGCAGCTGACCCGACCTGTGCGGGAATCTCTGGGCTAGGAGTGGAGCAGAAGTAAAGACCAAATTGTTGGCGCATGAACCAAACACTATGAAGGAAGCCTCGCCTGTGTTATCCCGCAGAATGAGTTGGATCTTATCACTGGAAAAGGCAGCAGGGTAATAAAATGTCAAGGGCAGAACAAACACAAGCAACAAAACAGGAAGTCATGAAGGAATGACGACAATCATCAACCAATAAAGTTCAAGCAAACACAACAGAGAAACACAAACAACTGAAGAACAAAGCAACAAACACACCCAATTGTGACTTGGTTCTCAGAAATCTTCCAATGTTTTGGACACCAATAGGAGCCATCCTCGCAAGGTGAGCAACTTTTCCGACACATGTTGCAGGATGTATAATACCATGGAGTGCGAGAGTCAATAGATTTAATTGTTCCACTGCAAAAGTGCTTTGCATCCTGCGTGGACACCAAGTAAAAGCATAAGAAAGAGCTTCAACATACTGACACATACAGATATGTAAATGAACAGGGTAAATAAGGGCTACACGTACTGCAGAAGCACCACGGTGATGAAGATCAAGCAACTCAGCAAGTGTCTTTGCCTTGTTCTCAGCATCAATGAGAGCGTTCTCTGGTGTGGCGAACTGTACCGGGAGCTCTGTAACAGGGTTCCTTGGCCCGCCAAACCTTGAGTGAACAAACGCACCAGCAAGGTATATGCCAAAGAACACAATGGGATGAAACAAAAAGGAAACCACATAATCAAGGAGGACCAAGATAACATACACATTTGTCAGATGGTATGCCTCTGGGATGCGAGGGTTGACCGTAATCCGGGTCCCCGATGAGCTCGAACAGGTATAATCACTCCCTAGAAACACAATCCATTAACAAAAAGAAGTCAACAACATGTTGAAAGCAAAGCAAAATGTTGACAGAGATGGATAAAAATATAACCTATCTGTCGCCCAACCATCAGGCTGCCTACTGCAATAATAACAGGTTCAATGGCATCTGCATGGATCAGAGCAGCACGATCCAAGGATCCAGCAAGGTTGTTCCATAGAGTGATCGAAACGCGGTGGCCCCTTGGTAAAAAAGAACTGATAAATAAGCACAAAGAAGGTAAAAATATTGGCGCATGGAACAACCACACAAATAGGCACATACTTTCCATTATCGAGAACCAATGTTTGTTTCGGTGTAGATCCACTATTGGTAAGCTGATGATCTATTCCACTAATGGAGTACAAACGGCCAATAACATCTATAAAGAAGCAGGGAGAACACGTCAGGGAAGAAACTGGAAACATGCTGAACACAAAAGTAAACAAATGAGTCGAGGAGAACATGTGAGAATGCG